AGCTCGCGCCGCCGCCGCTACATGTCAACCATTCACAGGTGACCAATGCATTTTGCCACCTGATACAATCAGAATAATACTCTATATTTCATAAACTACTCGAAATTAATCGATATCTATGATCAAATTCAGTAGAACGTAGGGAATCAGATGCATCAATTTTGATTATTGTAGAAATATTTCTATTAAATTTGTAGAGAATGGGCACACCGGTGACAGGAACGCCTCAAGGCGGCGTCTTTTCACCGCAACTAAGCGTTGAGGACGATGGCCTAAAGCAACAATTCTCTCATCAAACGATACAAAGGGTAAATATCATTTCACATGAACTGTACCGCACAATAAAGGCCCCTGCACACGTATTTTACCTACATTTTTTAAACTAAAGCCACCAATTTCTAGTCGTCCTCCTCGGATAAAAGGAGTTGGAGAGAAAATAAGATTGGATGCGAAACAAGATCTGTCAGTAAGGTAAAAAATATTTAAATGGCACGGTGTTTCTGTTGTTCACCGTATGCAAATTAGTTTCACGTAATAAATAAGTTATTGGCGACATAATACGTATCCAGTCTTTAGACATTTGTGTATTTTCTTATACTTTAGGACGCGTAGTTATATTAGGCGTGCAAAAGTTTTTGGCAATATATAGGTAGTCTTTATTCGTTCATATTTCGAGTGTTCTTGTTTGCTTCTACTTAGTGGGCCTTTACACGCGACTGTTGTTAAAATAAAAGGTAGAGTTTAGAGGTTATAAGCAAATTTGTGTTACACCGTTCTTTTATTTGGTTTTGCACAGAATATATTTAAATTTAGGCACTTTGACAAAACTAGAAACGCGATAAGGACGAAAAGATCAATTTATATAAGTGTAAACTTTTCTGATTGTGTAATGAATGAATGAATGTGAATGAATTTTAATGTAAGTTGAATTTTATGTTAATAAATGAATATTTTCTTTTATTTTAGGATTCACCGATACTGGATACAATGCCGCCGAGTGGATC